AGCTGACCCATGTGGGCTAGGAGGGAAAATAAAAAGCACCCACCCCAGCCTCTAAGTGTGGCTGCACTGACATCACAAAAGGGAATGCTGCTGTACTGAGCCTGGGGCCAACAGGGTTCTAGCAGTTGCTAGCAGGGACACTGAGCAGTGCTTCTGAGCTAGGCACCGGGAAAGACATTACACATGAACCAATTTAAGTGATCAGAAACTGGTTTAAACCTGTTACAGAACAGATGTTCAGTGCACATAAACCAGTTTGAAAATTGCTGAAACCACTTGGAGATAAACCTGATTGAATATATTATCAGACTTAACTGATTTGTCTGAAACCGGTTTATGCCATGTCTGTCCTAGACCCCTTGCTGCTCTAAGATAAGTCAGACTCCCCCACCATCCTGGCATGTTATCTGGAATGGGTGAGGCTCTCTGCTCTACAGCATTGCTGAATTCTCTCCTCTGCTCTGGCTGCAGCTCCAGAGACTGTGGGATGCTCCCCTCCTCACCACTCGTTGCTAAGCAGGAATTCCCCCCCCCTATATCTTGCAGAGAGTTGTCTGTGTATTAGCTAGCAGACCACATACCCACTATGATCTGTGCTGAATCAACAGGTAGAATCAACAGGGATTATTAACAAGTAGCTGGTAATGCCCCTCTGTTGTTTTCTTAATGGGGTAATTAACACTGAGTTAGGGGTTATAAACTCTGTTATCAGTTCCCTGCTGGGCTAATCAGAGTGTAGCAGGGCACTAAGGTGCCTGCTATGTGGAGAGCAAGGATAACTACCCAGGTGCAGGTTGCTAGGGCAACCAGAGGGAACTAGAGACCCACACCTGCCAGCGGTCAGCTGACTGGAAGGGGGATGGCCTGGCTTCCATATAAGTTCCAGGCCTGAGGACTGGAGGTAGTTCCCTGCTGGCAGCCAAGGGGAAAGGAGCTCTGCCTGAGTGAGCAAAGAGGGAGGCCTGACTGCACTAGTAGCTACCAATATGGGTAAGAGATGGAGCAACCCTGGAGTGGCTCAAATGAGGTTTTTAGCTTAGCAACTGGAATTTGTTATAGCCCAGGGGCTTATGTTTTGTGTTTGTTGTTTGTGACCAGTGGCTTGGGTGAGGTTATAAGGGAATGGAGGGGGCCTCATAGGGGACTCACAGTAGCATGGGGACCCCCAGCTCCAGAGAGGAAGCAGCGATTGAGAAGCCCCAGAGAGGGGGCAGAGACTGATGAACACCAGAAAAGGGCAGTATTGGGAGTGTGCTGACCCCGAGCACCAGAAAAGGCACAACATTGGGAGAGCCTGAGTGCCCAGTAAGGTGCAGAGCGAGACAAGGTTGTAGAGACCCCAAGTGCCAGTGAGGCGGAGCAAGACAAGGCTGTGGAGAGCCCGAGCACCCAGTAAGGCACAGAGCAAGACAAGGTTGTGGAAAGCCAGTTGCCAGTGAGGCACAGAGTGAGACAGGGCTGCAGAGAGCCTGACTACCAGTGAGACATTGGGTGAAACCAAACAAGGTCTGTTACATCATTGCGGCTTGGAGTGTGGTAAAGGGGTGGTTGGAGCCACGCATAGCCCATAAGGCTGGGGTGCACAGAAAGCCCATTAATGAACGGGGCCAGTGTATAGCAGGAAGCCATGGCCAAGGGGACAGAAAGGCAGCCTCCCTATCATATATACACACACACACAACATCAAAGATGTGGTGGGCGAGAATTGAGGGTGCCCTTTTGGCGAACTTGGCACTGTAAAGGGGGCGTTAGGGGAGAGCATGGCGACCCCTAGGACACCATCCCATTACACAGAGCATCCTGCTGGGGCCTGGCCATGCCCCTCCTCAGCTCAGTGCTGTGGAAGGAAGGGAGGGTTGATCTAGCCCCGCCCCCTCCTTTAGCTTCTAGCCTGAGCCACTGCAGGCATGTGCCCACATTTCTGGGATGCCTGTCCAGTTACAAAACAAATTTAGCCTAGCCAAGTTAGAATAACCAACAAAGATATAATCAATCCGGGCCCAGGTTTTTTGAACGTTTGTCCCTAGCCCTGCTATTTGTATATTTTGTTTGCATGGAAGCTGTGCATGCTTCCTTCAAAGCCTCTGAGGGACAAAAGGTGACAGGAAAAGACTGAAGCCCCTGGGGACTGCCTAATGAACTAGGGATGCATAGAGCCACCTAGGAATCACTCAGAGAGCTAAGTGGCAGTTTCTTTGTTGAACTTTATTTTTCTTTTGCAGTTCTTAAAAATCCAGGGTGATCTTGTGGTGTTATAGCCTAGCTCGGCTGTAGCAGAGGTGAGGACCCTGAATAGTGGGTCCTTAGCTTAAGTCAGCAGCAAATATTAAAGTGGCTGGTTCAGGGTACCTGTATAAACATGCCTAGCTCTGTTCTGCCCCAAAGCTACCCATAGCATTGGCTGCCACTTGCATACAGCAAGGGTGCATAAAACAAGGGTGGAGTCTAGCATTAATCTTCTCACAGATGCTGGGGAGGCACTAGCTGAAGAGCTAGTGAGGTGTCTGAGGGTGTGTGAGCTGCTGAATGTTGTCTGCAATGCATGCAGTATCTTGCTGGGGCTTGTAGTGAAATAATGAAGTATTTGTAATTAAAATGAAAATGAAGTATTTGTAATTAATGCTTCATTAATTACAAAAACTTATAAAAAGGACTATTTAAAGTAACGAAGTAACTATCTTACTATTGCCCTTGCAAAGGTGGGATATAACCCTGCTGGTATCCTCCCATCCCAGGAAATTCCTGCTGACTCCCCCAGGCTGTTTCTTGGGCTGTCATACTTCTTGTATACTCTGTCTTTCCAGGAGGACTTATTCTATGTTTCACAGTTAGCCATGACTCCAGAAAAACATTCTGCTTTCCAAAAGCA